AAGTATATTTGCATCTATAACTATTTAAATCAGAGTTAAATAAAATTCGAAATTCAGTTCCTCCATTGCATTAATCACATTTCAAGTACTTACCATGTTTCCCCGAAAATAAGATCTACCCCCAAATAAGCCCTAGCAGGATTTCTATGCATTTGTTAAATATAAGCCCTACCCTGATAATAAGACCTAGTGATGGGTGTGGCTATGCAGATATGCGCCATGCATTTTGGCACATAGAGAAAGACATCCCCTGAAAATAAGCCCTAGTGTGTTGCCTTGAGAAAAAATAAATATAAGACAGTATCTTATTTTTGGGGAAACACGGTAGTAGCCACATGTAGCTGGTGGCTGCCTGATTGGAATGAGTGGATACAGAACTTTTTCTTTATGGCACAGAGTTGGACAGCACTGATGGAGGCCATTCCAAGGAATGAAAGAGCAATCACAAGTATCAGGGTAATAAGATTGTAACTTCCAGAGAGATTAGCTACCTTTAGACAAAGTTTTTCCCAGACAGGGCATCTTCCTCTATAGTTTTGGTTTAGTATATATCCTGAAGGTGGCATTTTGTGTCTTTCAGCATTAATATAATTGTTTATAGCCACTTGGCCTTTCTCATAGCCATTGTGTACATCTTTCTTCCTTTTATATAGATACAGGAAGTATAACACAGAAAGTTATCCGTGGAATTAGATCTTCTGTTTTGTTTCCACTCTCCAAATGGAAAACTGCAAATCACTGGGCCCTATAAAACCTTGTTGTCCTGGATTGTAGTCACAATAATAATAAGGTATTGGGTCAATTGTTGTCAATTTTTGGTGATAATTTACTGCTCAGAGAAACCTCAGAAGGTTTCAGATAGGTTTCTTGATCTAGTTCTTTTTACTCTGAAATAAAGTAGGGAAGTAGGTCAGTGCCTGGGCTAAGAGCAAAAAGCAAGGAGTCTCATTGTTTTGTCCAAACATCATTACATTTTCTCCTTGGCTCTGAGACTGACACCCCCACTGCCTGCTGGCATGGTGTTCTCTGACTTGTGGTCGGATTCCGTGCGGCATCTGTCCTAGAGGAGCCTTCTGGCTGGCTCCTTGCCAAGGGCACAAGCAGAATTGGCACTCAGAATCTTGTTGCAGTTTGTAGGCGAGCTGCCAGCGGAGATGTATGTGCCTGTGTCCCGGGCCTGGCGGTGGTCACCGCTTCCACAAGAGATACCACCTGGGAGGATCCCAACTCCTGCAACATGAGGCAGTGACAGTGGCTTTAGGTCTTACTGTCCACACTTTCTGCAGGCACCTTTCCTTAGGGGTGAGACATTGGGAAAGTCACTTTACTCCTATAACCCTCCATTGTTTCATCTCCAGAAGGGAGATAATGATTCCAGCTGGACACATCGTCATGTTATACGTCAAGTACTTGGCAGAGGTTTCTGGCAAAGAGTGAGCTCTCAATAAATATTATATGAGCTGAGTCTAAATTCCAACGCTGTCAAAGACACTGTGCTGGGTGCCGAGGACGGCTGGAGAGCAAAGAGAAGGGAACTAGGCTAATTTCCTAAGCCCAGGATCAGACGTTCGTAAATGGGAGGTCTTCCTGAGGGTTTTGCTGAGACCTGGGGCGTCTCTTCCCGTAGTAATTGCTTCTCTATGAAGACTGAGTCTGCTCTCCACGGCCCCCAAAGGTTTAACTGTCGAACACATAATTTCTGGCTTGCTCAGATGTGTCAGCGCCTACAGCCTCATGAGGACAAAGGAAGTCACTGAGTCTCCACTAAAAATGAGCATCAGCCAGGAAGAAAATTAGGAGTCCAGAGGAGGAGGAGCCAGGGTGGATTAGAATGGAGATTACCAAAATGTTGCAATAGCTGCGGGGGTTCAGGGCGTGGCCTTCAGCAACTCTGGGGCAGTTGGTGGGTGAGGACTGCTTATTTTGCATAGAAGCTTTCGATTGGGAAGGCGTGGTGGTGGTGTTTTTAATTTATGTGACAGCTAGAGATGACTGGATTTAATTAAGGAAGGGATTATTGTGCCTTTAGTGCTTGATGCAAGTCTTTGGAACAGTTACTTGCAAAATAGCAGGTAGTCAGGCAAGGACATGGGAGTAGATGAGAGGCGCCCATCGCTGAGTGTGGGAGTGGAGAGAAGGGCATCCGCGGAGGTGCAGACGCTCTTACCTGGTTGATTACTGAGTAAACACGGGCTTTAAAGCAGCCTAAGTGAGATTTGAAGTCTAGCACTTCAATTTATAAGCTGGTAATCTTAGTAAAGGAACTTATTTCTGAGGAGTTGGCATCTGAAAAGCACTGCTTTTTCTTAAGATTAATACGAGGAATAAAAACGTGAAACACCTGCCGTGTTATCTGGTATGTGAATGTTCTGTGAAAGATGGGTATTATTATTATTTAGTATGTGAATTGTATTGGAGTCTACATACGAAAATTTTGAACCAAAAAGTACATTTGTGATGGTCGTTTTAAGGGCATCACAAATGCAAAGGAGTTAGCAGCAGAAACAGCTGGCCCAGAGCCTCTGTTCTGTGCTGGTCCCCTCTTCAGCACATTGTTCTGTGAGGTTGAGTCTTTGTTCCCATTTTACAGATGGTCTGAGGCCCAGAGCAGCACAGTTAGGAAGTGGTGGTGCCAGGACGCAGAGACTGCCTCACTGCACCGCCTAGGATGGTGAGAGATCTCGGGATCTGTGAAGGATGGCGGATGGGAGGGGTAATAAATAGGTACCCATCCACACAAAAACCAGGGGTGTGAGGCTAACCCTGGCTCTGCCTTCCCTTCTTTGCTGCCTCTGGGTGAGTTTGCATGTCTTGAGAAAGTGTAAATGGCTCCTTGCCTGGAGAAACACCAAAGAGGAATGCTGGCTGTAGAATTGTAAGTTAACACATTAGGACTAGTGCTCTGCACCCGAACTCCTCCATTTTGTAAGAAACGGTGCTCTGCAAAGACAAGAGGCAACAGCCCCGTTTTGAACTTCCGTTTTCTGTTGCTGAGACCGTGGGGGTGCCTTCCTTTTCTCGTTCTAGCTGATTGTCAACAGCAGTGACCACAATGCCTTCCTCTCCCACCAAGAGGTCTTGCCACACTGTGAGCCCTCGACTTGCTGCATCCCATAGTGCACGGGGCCCTGCCACCTCCACCCTGCCCCAGGCACAGCTCCTCAGGTTAAAGTGTTTATCGAATTCTCAAAGAGTGATTTAAAAAGAAGGAGAGGTACAGAAGAACAAGATAAACGATCCAGCTCTAATATATAAACAAGCACTGCATTGCACCTAAATTGTTGAAAGAAGATTTTGTCCTCAACATTTTATTCAGCAGAACATTTTTTATAACAATAAGGTTGATTAGAGCAAACAACGAAACTGCTTCAAGTTAGACAGTCTGATTGTTTACCTCAAGGATGAAAAAATAAAGTGGTAGAAGACAAGGATGAAGCCAGGACCTTGTCAGGAGTATTGACACCGTTTTTCTCCCTGGATCACATCTAATTCTGCATTGTCCTTTCCATAAGTTTTTGGCTTTTTAACCATCCGTGTCTTCCTTTTTGGTTTTTAAGGGTTCAAGTCTAGCCTGGACACACAGCAGATTTAAGGTGCACTGGTATTTTTTTTTATTGTTTTAGCCAAGTAAGGAACTCAGCTCTACTTAAGACCTCTCCTCTGTCTTCTTACTGTTACTGGACTGAGGCTACAGGAGATCACACCTGCCAGCTAGAGTTCACTGTAGCCATCGTGTCTTCTTTTTGACTTTTTTGCTTCTGTGTTCACAGGCTGAGGAGCTCAGGGCTGCAGGGTCATTTGGCAGCCTAGGTTTAGGGTATGTTTTGAGGGGAGTAGGCAAAAAGGGCTGAGGTTCCGCCTCACTGCTTACTCTGGCTCCAGGGTTGGGTGGCAAACAAAAAAGAAATGTCTTCACCATCACATTGCATGATGGTGACTAGAACTGCAGGCTCAAAATAACCGTTCTCTCCTCTCTCTTCCAAATGGGGGCTTTGGAAGCAGTGTTCAGGCAGGCAGATATGTGAAGGCTTTTGGATGTATTCTGTATCCACCCCAAATATTTACTGAAGCTGAGAGAAGAAAACGCAGACGTTCCTTTTTTTTTTTCTTCTCTCCCAAACGTGTGATTGTTTAGAACTCAAGTGCAACATCTGGAAGTCAGATACACAGAGAGCAATTTATGGAGTGTGAAAGATTTGAAATATTCAGCGGCCTTTAGTGGGAACTCAACTTTGTGGGGCTGCGTTTCCCCCCACCCCTCTCCCGGCACAAAGCGGGCAATTCTGAGATCTCTTCTGCTTCCCTGAATTAAACCCTTTGTGCCTGGGTCCCAGAAACAATGCGCTTTTTAAAGGGAAGCCCCCTCCCCGCTCGGCCCTTTTCTCGGCGTGGGCAGCCAATCGGCGGCGCGGCGCTGCACAGCCGGCCCGCTTTCCATTCCGAGCAGCGACGTACTAATTTGATGCACACATGGATGCCTCGCGCACTCTGCAAATTCATCACCAGCATCTTGCATTAGTCATCTGACGGACTGCCAAGTGTTTCATTTTCTTTCCATGTGACTTTATTATTACCACCTCTCTGCTCTCTTCCAAAAAAGCCTCCCAGGAAGGGCGGGGGCCGGGGAGAGGGAGAGGAATCCGGCAGCAGCCGACCCAGCGGGCGCGGGGCTGA